CCTGTCTTTGCCACCGGCCCGCCCCACACGGACATGGGCTGCTCCGCCGAGCCAGCCTCCTCCACGTTCACCACCGCCTTGGGACTCTTCAGCCTGCGCCACAGCAGCGTAACCGGCCTTGCACAGGGCAGGGGGAAGTTCAAAGTCTAAAATAAAATACCTTGGCATTTCTTTTCCCCGTCAGACCCAACAAGCTTTCCGAGATGGTTTTCTCTGTGCAACACTCGCTTCGGATTACGGGACTCCGCCGTCCCAGGGAGGGGCAGCGCCCCTTTCCCAAGGTGCCTTCGACTTTGAGCTTTTGCGTTTAAAGCTCTCTGGAGCTCCAGCAGGGTTTTTGTTCTTGAGAGTATGACAGGAGAGGCGGCAACCCTGTCTCGGCAGCGCTCCGAAGCGGATCTACGTTCTTCCTTGACTAACTGCACTAAGCAGGCTCGAGCAGAAGGAAAGGGGAGGAGTGCCCAACACTCTTTTAAAACCAGGTATTGAAGAGATTCACACTTTAATGAGGTAACCTTAAAAGCAGGATGAGGGGGAACCCGTGGTGCGCTGTAGGTCTCTATGAACCCCTCAGGTGGGTGTTTCCCACCTGGAGTACCCCGCACACCGACCGGGGAAGGAGGAGATGGCCCAGGAGTACGGCCAGTGCCAGCGCCCTGCTCGTGGAGCGAGCCCAGCCAGAGCACCGGCGCGTCCAGCCCGTCGGTTTGGACAGTCTCACAAAAGCATGAGCCCGAACCGCGGCCCGGCTGCGTGAGCCATGCCACGGGCGCTGCTCCCCGAGTTGCTCCGCATCGAGCAAACCATCCTGCGGCTGGGGCAAGGACAGAAGTCGAAGGTCTTCTACATTCCCACTCGGTCTGAAACAATGAATTGCATTTACAGAGCTTCAGAGGTGCCCGTGTCAAACCCGTCTCAGCGGGGCAGCCCGCTCAGTCCCCTTCTCGCCTCCCGCAAACGTGCACGTGCGTCCCTCAGCCAGCGCTGTCCGGGTGCTCCCGCCCCGAGCCGCGGCCGCAGGGCTGCTGGCAACGAACCACGCCCATGGAGATCCGCTCGGCCCCCCTCCCCGCAGCCAGGGTAACTAAGCCCACTCTGAGCACAGAGATGGAGAGCACTCTCCTGGGAAAGAGACTCCCGTGTCTTCTAGCAGCAACAGGTTCCCAAACAGCAGTTTCTGGTTTGGAAGTAAGAGGAGTGATTGAAAGCGCTAGCGCTGACGCTACAGGCATTCGGACTGCGCGTGCCGGCCGGACCGACCCCCCCTGCTCCCTCCCCCTACAAACTCGTCCGTCCGCGGCGGTCCAGCAGCGCGACAGCAACACAAAGGGAAACCTGGCTCTGGCGCCAGCTCCCCTCCCGCTTCCATGCTCTCCCGGCAAACAGACAAACATATATATTACTACATAGACACGGGCGCGTGGGCACACACACACAGGCACGGCAGCAAGGAGAGGGGGAACAGCTGGAGCAGGAGAACCCCGCAGTCCAGCGGCACATCCTCGAGCTCTGTCCCGCCGAACAGCGTCCCACGCCCCAGCCTCCGCCGTGCACGGCTCCCACGTCCTCCCGGCATGGGCTTCTCCAGTTCGAGATCCAGGCTGGAGCCGCTGGGGTGTAAGCTGCTGTAGCACGCCTTGCAGACTCTGCTGGGCTCAAAGAGCTGCTGACTGGGAACGGGCACCTTCTGGTTACAGCAGCTGGAGCAGAACACGTTTCCACAATTCCTTGCATCAGGAACAGAAGAGAAATGGAAAAGAAAAGATCAGCAGCAGTTTGACCAAGTCCCCCGAGCTCTAAAGTCACGCTATTGACAGTGTCGAGAGGGGCTCAAGCCCTGGAGACTGCCCTGCTCCTCCCCAAGCACCTGGCAAGACAACCCCCAACGCTCACACCCCGCGCTCCCTGCTTCCGAAGCCGAGCTCTAGGGAAGTGATGCCAGAAGGGAGCACAGTGCGAACCAGAGTACAGAACCACAGCTCACGCCACGTCCCCGCAGCGACCGCCCGTCTGCAGGACACCGTCCCGTGTCACCACAGAGGGAGCGTGCCCCGCCACAGAACGGGTGAGCTCCCTCCCACGTCCCGCGGAGCGGCTCAGGCACGGGGCTGCGCGTCACTGCTGCCTTGGGGGCACCGGGCTGAGAGAGGGACTGAAACCCAGCGGCCGAGGGGCTTCCTCCACAGGGACGCGGGGAGCGCGGTGTCCTGGCCCCTGCTCACGCCACTGCTCCGCCTTGCCGCTGGAGACCGAGTGGATACGGCACTCCCGGGAGGAGGCCGGAGTCTCGGCTCCGTTGCGCTGGTAAGCACCAGCACAGAGACACTGCCTTCTGCTTCTTTCAAGTGCGCCGCTGGGAAGTTTAAGCACGGGACAGATGAAAAAAATTAAACGCAGTTCCGGCTGATGCAATCCTCCCACTGCCCCTGCAGCGCAGCCCCGTCCGCGGCCTTCCCGGCAGTCCCACGCTTCCACGTCGAGTAAACCGGGGCAGCACGGATCATGCAAAGCCGTGAGATGGGCAGCCGGGCGTTTCATGCTCGGGAACGACAGCCAGGCTGCACGCGGTCTGGTCAGATGTCAGCTGGCGGAGGCACGCGGGCGCATGCACCTCGCGGCAGGCAGGGATGAAAGGTACATCCTGAAAATAACCACCTCCTCTCGCAGCCCCCCGAAGCCCGCTGCTGCTCAGGCCAGCCTGGGGTGCCCTGTCCTCCCAACTCACCCATTTGAGCTCGGAGCAGCACTCCAGGGACCTCCATTTTGCAGGTCTACCTCCACGCCTGACGCCCTTTTCGCTAACTCCTTGGCATCAGGATTTTGTGCCAGTATTGTTTAGCGCTAGAAAAGATCTGCTGCTGCCAGGAGAGCGACAGAGAATCCTGCCCACGCCAAGTGGCTCTGATTCATCCCTCAGCGCCCAGAGACGAGCCTTCCCGACGCTGGTCCCCAACGGGGAAAGAGCCAGCAGAGCAATCCCACGCCTCACTCCAGCGGGCT